ACAATTAAAAGAGACTATTATGATTAACAAATTTAACAACGTAGATGAAATGAAAAAGTTCCTTTAAAAACTTAAATTACCAAAACTGATACAAGAATAGCCTTATGTCTACCAAATAATTACATTTATTGCCAAAAACCTCACCACAAAGAAAACTTTGGGACTAAGTGGTTTTATGAGTGAATTCATTAAATATTCAAGAAAGAAAAAAGTATCACATTAATACAATCTATTTTGGAAAGTAGAGGAATGAATGACTGATAGGGATAACAATCCTGATGAATCTCATAGACTTTATGCTGAGCAAAATAAGCCAGACACACACAAAAAGTATGTATGTATATATTTTGCAATTTTATTTAAACAAAGTACAAGTAAAATTAATTTATTGTGGAAAACTACAAAACAGTGGTTGCCTCTGCTGGGGCAAGGAATTGACTGGAAACGGATACTAGGGAACTTTCTGGAATGATAGGAATATCATGGATGTCAAATAGCATGGATGTCAAAACTGTACATTTAAGATTTTAAAATTTCAGTATATATAAATTTAACCGCTAAACATTCCAGAAGGTGGAAAGTAGGTGGAGGTAGGGATGGAAGCAGAATGACAGAATGTTTATGATTGTTGAAGTTGGGTGATGTGTGCGTGGGAGTTTATTGCTGTATTCTGTTTGTGTTGTATGTACTTTAAATTCTCCATAATAAAGAGTTAAAAAGTGGAATGGTCATGAAATTTGATTTATAAAGTGAGATATTGCATTTGTGTATCACACTATTTCCAATTTGCATAGTTCAGATTTACACAAAATGGAGTACATTTATATTTTTTCCAGTCTTATTTTTTAAATTGTTCTAAGCAGTACTGAATATTCAATTTTGTACCCAGCTTTTCTACTCACATTATACTGTAAGCATCTTTGCAGGTTTACAGTCTTTGTGATCATCAGTTTTAATGGTTATCCCTCTGGCTTCTTAATGCTGAAACTCAAATTTTATCTCATTATTCTACCTACATTGAATATTAGTGCTACTCAGAATAATACAATTCTAGTGCATCCCTCAGGTGTTCTCATTTAATTATTTATGTTATTTATGCTCACCTTATACTAGTGAGGTTTTAAGGTGGCCTGAAAAGACATAAAATAAAACAAGATAGAATAATTCTAAAGCAAAATACAAACAGGAAAAAGAAACAAGGTTAAAGATAGAGTTGAATCAAGGATCCTTAAGGCAGGAAAAATCATATACCCTTCTCTGCCAAGGAAAAGCTTAACAAAGCACACCCCCAGAACTTCTAAGTTTGAATAATGATATTTAGTGTATGTCTTGGGGTAACCGAAAAGGTTAATGGAGGATATACAGCAGGCTGACCAAAGAAAGTAGCCTCCTGTAAGAAATTGTTATTTATGAACCAGTAAAAAAGATAGACTACATAAAATTTTGATGACTTAGTTTTAGTATAGCAGAATAACTTCAGAAGTGGTTAGAATACCTTTTCGTCTTAGAGTAGTTGAGCAGCAGGATGGAAGAATTGGTACACCTCCCAGCTCTGTTACTCCCTAGCTGATTATCTTGAGAAATTGACCTCATCTTTCTGATTCTCCATTTCTTCCTTTGTAAAATTTGAGGACAATTAATATATAGCATGTGAAGACTTATTACAGATTCAGTCATTCGACAAATATGTATTGAGACATGCTAAATACCAGTTCCTGTTCCAATCACAAAGCAAGGAGTGGCATCTCAGTCTCTGTTCTTATGATACTCACTTTCTAGGGCATGGAGACATAAGACAAGGAAACAAGCAATGTCATTTCAGATGGTGACACTTTCTATCAAGAAAATAATGCATGCTATGGAGCCAAAGAAAATGAGTGTGTGTGTGTGTGTGTGTGTGTGTGTGTGTGTACTTTGAAAGACATATTAATCAGGGAATTTCTCTCTAAAAAAGTACTATTTTTAAAGGATCTGAAAGATGAAAAGATATTAAGAAAGAGCCATCTAAGCAAAGGTAACATCAACAAGGAGCCCTACTTTGTAAGAAGCAGCCAGAAGGCCCGTGTGGCTGGAGCATAGAGTGAGGGTGATAATGCAAAGAGGAGATCAGAAAAGTGGACAGGGATCAGAGTGTATGGAGCCAGGGTCAGGGACCTGGATTTTATTTCACGTCTTTGGAGAATGTAAACTGTAGAACTGCATGATCCTATGGGTGTTTAAAGCCACTGTGGAGAAAGGATTGTGGAGAGGCAAAAGTGAAGGCAGGGAGAACAGCTAGGAAGTTAGTACATATTAGGTGCTTAGTATGATATCTGGCACCTAAAAATCACTTACTAAACATTTTGAACTGGTAATCAGTATAGCTCTACTTTTTAGAAAAAAAGTTAGCAAGCAGGGACTATTATCCACAAATAACATCTATTATTTGAGAAAACCAGGTCTTTCTGTTCTCTGTAACAGAGATATGTTCTAACTCACTAAATATAGAGGCATTGTGACATGTCAGCTTGCCTAGGCTGAACTATATTCTCCAGAATTCCTTTTCTTGGTGTGTCCTGCCTGCTAGGATGGGTCACAGAGAGCTTCCTCTGGGGGACTTGGGAGTGGAAGAGAAGCAGCAGACATTCATAGAAGCAGAGAGTAGAGTGGTGGTTACCAGGGGTTGAAGGAAAGGACGAGGAATGGGAAACCACTGGCCAATGGATACAAAGCTTCAGTTAGACAGGAGAAATTAGTTCTGGATATCTACTGTACAATATGGTAACTAGTTAACATAATAAATTTATACTTGAAAACTTCTAAGAGAGTAGATTTTAAATGCTCTCAGCACACAAATGGTAAGTATATGAGGTGATAGCTATGCTAATTAGCTTGACTCAATCATTCCATAGTATACATTATATCAAAACATCATATCGTACACCATAAATATATTCAATTTCTCATTTGTCAACTAAACAAACACATGTTGTTGTCGTTGTCACTACTCTGCTGACTCACCTCATTGGTGAGAGGCTGTAGCAGGGCCTGTACCTGCTCCTCTCTCCCTTGGAGCCTCCAGCTTCTCCAGCTCCTCCTGCTTCTCCAACCCCTCCAGCCCCTGGGCCAGGCATGTGTGTTCAACTTGAATCCTGCAGGACATCCACATTAAGGTCAGAGGCAGTAAGAACTGTCATGAGTTTTAGTCCATTCTCATGGGCCCATCTAATGTTCTTACTTTTCTCCAATTTACATCCATCTTTTCTATTCAACTGTCTGCGTTTTGGACCTCAAGCACCAGCATTAAATATGAAGATAATAGCCTTGCAGAGACTGCTTAACAAGCTTCCACAATGTATAAAGCTAAGTCTTGTATGTGTCTGTCTATCTCAGTTGTTCTGTTTGTTCAGTTGTTCTCTGATTGATATGCCAAGAGTGATATCCAATTAAAAGAAACATACTTAAAAGAAATAGAACCAAATATATTCCTGATTTACACCTGAAATCTCCAAACACTCTTTAGAAGATGTCACAACCATCACAGTTCTAGGCCCATAAAAGGCATTCAGTAAGTATTTTTCAAAGAATGTATGTTCTAGTTCTAGAGTTTTAAAAGGTGGCATATATACACAGTGGAATATTATTCAGCCCTAAAGAGGAAGGAAATTCTATCACTTGGGATGACATGGATGAATCTGAAGGACATTATGTTAAGTAAAATAAACTAGGAACAGGAAGACAAATAACACATTCTCACTTATACATGGAATCTAAAAAAGTACAATTCACAGAAGCAGAGAGTACAGTGGTGGTTTCCAGGAGTTGAAGGAAAGGATGAGGAGTGGGAAGCCATTGGTCAATGGGTACACAGTTTCAACTATACAGGAGAAATTACTTCTGGGGATCTACTGCACAATATGGTAACTATCGTTAACATAATAAATGTGTACTTGAAAACTGCTAAGAGAGTAGATCTTAAATATTCTCAGCACAAAAATTATAAGTATGTGAGGTGATGGCTATGTTAATTAGCTTGATTTAATCATTCCATAATATACACCATATCAAAATATCACATTGTACACCATAAATATATTCAATTTCTCATTTGTCAATTAAACAAACAAACAAAAAAGAATGCATGATTCAGCTCTAATTCCCTCGGAAGATTTCAACTCAGGTTCACTGTGAACTTCACCAGGGCTCTGTGTTAAGGACTCTCCCTGTGTCCTATCCTAACCAGAAACATGCAGCAAAATTAAATGCTGGGAAATGTTGTTCAAACTTTGAGTTAAGAAGACACAATTGGTTCTATAGAGTCAAAGGTTATGAAAGATCAGTTTTATTAATCATCCACTAGTTTCCTGGTTGCTCATTCTAGAAGGTGGTAGACTGTAACAGTGGTCCTGGAGCGATCAGACATGTCTTACATCTATCTGTTGTTCTGGTTAAACTTGAGAAACCTACACTTACAATTTGTCAAGCAAATTATAAGAGCACAATATTGATGGCTTACGCAACAAACTAATAGGTTTGCAATTTAAGGAGCATGAAGATTTGTTTATTTTGGAAATAGAATAAACTGTATTCTGATTCCAGTCAGGTGGGGCCATATTTGAAAAACCTATAAAGGTTAACAAGTCTGCAAACATTGAAATTCATTATTTTGTGAGATTCTTAAATAGCTTTGTTGGCAAAAATATTTTTGGTTGTTTTATGCACCATAGATTTCAAAATTAACTCAAGAAGGCCATTATCATTTCCCAGTCATAAAGTAGCCTGGGCTATACAATGTTTAAAGCTGTTTACTTATGGTTCCAGAAATAAATAAACAGGCATATTCTTTCATAGGCATCCCTATGAAAGAATATCCTCATTACTAATTTAATAGTCTTCTTTCACACTTATTTTTTGCTTATAGAACCTAAATGTTCCTGGAGTTGTAATGTATTAAGCCCAGGTAATGAATCTTGAATCAAGTCTGCTTGGAAGTTTCTGAAAATGAACCTTTTTGTTGTTTGTGTGTTGCTTCCACCCCACTTCTTTCAATCTCTCCCAGTCTCTGCCTGCTGCCTTTGAAAGAAGTCGTGATGCTGCATCAACTCTCTTACAATCATGAGAATGACAAGCTGCCCTATCACAGTTGGCTTAGCAGAAGAAGGGAAAGAGTCTGGACCTTGTTGTTGAGATACTTGAACAGCTGAACCAGTTCCAAGATGCCCACCTACAGACTCTGTGAGATCACTAAATGTCTTTATGCGGAGGCCTCTGCAAGCTGATCATTCTGCTACTTGCTACCAAAGTCATTCCTAACTGATATAGCCTCTTTTCCATTACTTTCCAGATTCATGCCTTGGGCAACTGCATTGCAAAATTTGACCTCACCATGTCTAAAAACTGGACTCAGATCTTTCTAGAGGTAGTTTGTTTGTTTTTTCTTTTAAATAATAAAGTCATATCAAGTTCTATATTTGTTATGCAGTATGTTTATCATTTTTGAACATCATATTTGTCATATATAGAAACAATCACTCCTTTCTTTAGTGATGCCATGAAAAATATCATCAGACTGGCTACTTAAGCTAACAATAAGTTCCTCAAAATTATAAGTTCTTTCATGGAGTAACTAGAATTCATAAAGTTTAAATGGTCTTGAGACAATCTCATATATTCAGTCATTCCAAATTTTCATTGGCAAGGGAATGTCCATGGAAAGGTAAGTTACATCAAGCTTTTCAGGAATTAAATCAAAACCCACAGCACAAGAAAAAATATTATATGAACCAAACAAACTTCCAAGGTTGACAAAGATAAGACTTTATTTATTCTAATTTTTGCAAGAGTTCCACAGTTCATTTTCTGACAGCTGGCACAATACAGATTTAAAATTCTAAATAGGAAGGAGGGGGTGGTTGCCATCTGTGGCCATTACCTGATCTCTCTTATTTTAACTGCCAAGGATAACTCCATGGAGCATGCATTTTTTTTGTTTTCAATTTTTAAAAATGTTTATTATATGACATTTCAAACACAGGAAAGTTTCAAAAATAATATAGCATACTCTCATTGATTATATTTTATAATCGTTTACATTTTCCATAGCCTTTAGATGTTTAAAAATAAAATTTTATAGCTACTCTAAGGCCACACACAATCCTGTCTTCATATTGTTTTACTTTGCACTTCATGGGACATGTTTCTGCAAAATTAAGCCATTTGTGTCTCTAAAACTTTACCCAGATTTAGAAAGCTGCAATGTAAAATTCTGTCTTCAAACATACTTTGGTTAGTAGAGTTAAATAATGATACTGCTTGACCTATTCAGACCTCTTGGCTCCCTACCAATGCTTGATAATCCATATTTTCATGATCACCTAACGCATTAAGATAACATCTTTCTCCCTATGTCCCAGCAACCTTCTAGTTAACCTTGGGTCTTGAAAGTCTCAAATGATACATCAGATGCCTGGAAACAATATTTGAGTCTACAGTGGACTCACATTTAATTACATATATTTGATATTCAAAGATATTTTGATTTACCCCTGCTGGTAAATGGTGTTTCTTCCATCCAGCTTTCTTGGTGATGAGCTTGCTTAATCCAAAGAGGAAGGAGAGAAGCAAGGCTAGCCTTCTGGGAATGATGTTGTTTGAAATAGCAGTGTGACAGCTTGTCTCCCAGTCTCAGGTTATTGCTCATCATATCTGAGACTTCCATTTAGCCCTTCAAAACCTGTTTACTCAAGAAAGGAGACCTGGTGGGTGATGGTGTCGGAACAGTTCATAACCTTGAAAGTTATCCTGTCCATATCCCACACAACTGCCTCCCAGAGGCTCTTCCTACATCTGTCTCCTTCCCGAGTCCTCCTGATTGATCTCTCCGGGCTGCCCTCTTCCCCTTCCAAGCTTGTTTCTACAGTGGACTCACATTTCATTACATCTCATTGATACTCAATTTGAATTTTGCCTTCTTAGCTCTCTCTTTTGCCCCCAATCTTAATTCTTAAAACCCCTGTCCTTACCACAGTCCTAGCATCAAACGTTCACAGAAAGAAAACCTGTACTTTTACAAGGTTGCCAAGGGATAGCAACTTTAGCTTTCCATGATATGAGCAGCCATTGAGCAGTGTTTTTCTATTGCCATTTTGACATAGTATTATTCTAATGAGTCCTGATTTGGAAGAACTGACTTCTGCTTTAAAAACTTGAAATCAATGCTTTCCACTTTCTGAATCTACTAATCCATCTGGATATCTTTAAACTGGGATTTTATTAGACCAGCCTGACAAAAGGAGCAAGACCTACCCTGGTTCCCACATCTCCATTCTTATATCATTTATAGTTGTCTTTCATACTAACTCAACCCAATGGCACATAGTTATACTTAACAAAGGAGGAGATGTCTTGTTTGAGGATACCTCACAATTGAGGTGAATTCATTTTACAGTCTATAATATGCAAAAATGTGGCCCCTGCTGGTAAATGGTGCTTCTTCCATTCAGCTTTCTTGGTGCTGAGCTTGCTTCATCCACAGAGGAAGGAGAGAAGCAGAGTTTTGAGGTCAGTGAGTAAGGGAGCAAGAATGTTTCATATTATGGTAACAAACATATCCTAACTCACTTAATACCTTCCTGGTTTTTAGTACTGAACTTTTATCTCTCATCATGGGAAACTCACCAGCTCTAAGAAAATCAGAACAGTTGATCATCCTACTCCACATATAAGAGGAGTTTTAAAGATCCAGTTGAAAGTATTTGATAAAGAAAAGGAATCATCAAATTGGGAAAGCTTTGCAAAACCAAAGCTTCTCTAGACATCATATAATGAAATGAAAGCATGTGGACAGTGGGCCTAAGCAATCGTGAAGAAGGACATAAAGAACGAATGTTTACGCTGAGAACTAAAGGACGACTCAAAGTTATGAAGGCAAAGGCCAAGAGTGCAGAGTGGGAGGCCACCCAAATTCATGGGGAGAAGGTAAAAAAACCGAGCTTTGTGGCACTTTGCTAGAGATTTCTATTCTGACATTACTCCATTAACTGTAAAGCGCATTTGGTTACGTTTATCAGTCCCAAAATAACATCATAAAATGTATGCTACATCTCTCGTTGAGACAATAGACACTTGATCTTTTAGTTCTGTGATTTTCCAGACCAATGATCCACATTTTCTTTAACTCGAACTAAATCATACATTCTTTCAAGAATCCTTATTGCATGCTTATTGTGTGCAAATTCTCAGGGAAGACATTGAGTCTTCAGTCATATCTGCACACCTTGTAGTTTTAGAGGCTACAGTTCATAAGTCCCAGGTCCCTGAAAATTATTAAGACTGGCAAGAAGGTCTCTAACTAGATTTCTTCCTATCTGAGGCATTATATGTTTATATTCATGGTTAGTCTAGCTTTCCTTATTTGAAGATAATTTTCCTAATGGAGATGAAAGAAATAAAAAGAAGTTGAAGAGCATTTTCCTATCATATTAATATAATAGTATTTCTTCCCAAGTAGTCTGATTAAATGTAATTAAAACAAGTTTTGCATTCATTTGAATGACTTTTATATTTATACATTTTCATTTTCCAGTTCTTTTTAAATATAGGCTTAGATTTGCCCCCAGATATTGAACAAGGAAAAATGAGAATGTGTTATTACGGGAATAGAAGAAGTTACATATAAATTTTAAGAAAATTAATTCTTTATGAACTGTTATTTATTGTGTCTATATATAATGCAATAATTACTATTGATGACTCCTCACTGAAAGAGGAATTAAGCACCTTTTCTTTCTTTCAATATCTGCTAGCTTCCTTCCTCTACCATACCTCCCAGGGTTTTACAATTTTTTGTCTTGTTCTATTATCGCCATTATTTTTACATTCACTATATTTTATTTTAATAATTTAATTATTTGCATTGTTTTTGTAATCACATTTACTACAAATATTTAATACATCGTTCCATATGCAAATAAGTTTAGTTCTGCTATGACCTAATGGTTTGTGTCCTCCCCCTAATTCATATGTTGAATTCCAAATCCCCAATGTAATGGTTTTAAGAGGTGAGGCCTTGGAGAAGTAATTAGAAGATGAAGGTGGAGCTCTCATGGTAGGATTAGTGCCCTTACAAGGGACTGAAGAGACCAGAGTTTTCCCCTTTCACCATGTGATTACACAACTAGAAGATGGCATCTGTGAACCAGGAAAGAACCAGACATTGACTCTGCTATCATCTTGATCTTGAACTTCCCAACCTCAGAACTGTGAGAAATGAATTTTGTTGTCTATAAGCCACCCAGTATCTTGTTATAGCAGCCTGAATACTAAGATAAGTTCTTATGGCAAGTTTTTGACACCATTACTCCCTATTTATCAGCTTTGCGTACTGAATTCCTCTCTCCCTGACTTATTAAGTTCCTGAACAAATTTTTACAGATGAACACATTGATCATCTATTTCCTAAATTGGTGTGTAACTGGTCCCTTCACCTGGAAATAGCAATTTTACAGAAAAGGACATTCTTGTGTCTTAACCTTTTTCTCTCAAAGTTTTCTAAATATTTTTTACTTTTTTCTGGGATTTAGCACTGAAGAAATTATTTATTCTTGAAATAATACTGCCACTAGAGTATGACTAATATATGAATATGCTAGCATAAAAATATAGCATATGACTAGAATATAACTAGTTTGTTTCTTTTTGCTAGTTTTGCCTAAAAATTGGTGGATTCTTTTTATTCATAAATTCAGATCTTCCCTAAATTCTAGGATTTTTAATTTTCATATATTTTTAAATATGTCTTTGCTTCTTTTATTTTGTCCTCTTCTTCAGGATTGCTGATTATTCATATTCTTGAATCTCCACCATCAGCTTTTCCTCTGTCATAAACTTTTTTGTTACGATCATCTCTTTGTTCTCTTTCCTGGATTATAGGTGACTTTTAAATCAAAATTATTCACATCATATAATTCAATTTTTGTTACTCTTATTACTTTCATTACTGCTTTTAATTCCCACTATAAAATCTGAATTAAAACTCTATCTATACCAGTAAAAAAAATTATTCCATAACACTTTTCTTCTTAACCTATTATCTTGTCATCTTATTTTCACTAAGAACAATTAAAAAAAAATCCCGAGTAGGTAGAATGCAGGCATTTTTTGGTTCCTTATGGAAAAATGTTTTAATAATGCCTCATTTATTGTTTGCATGGTTTATATCCTTCTTTAATGTTTTATGTATTAAAGTAAGTTACAAAATATTTCTATAAGCTCTGCTATTTACGGCTCTTTCGATTTACTCAAATCAATGCAGACAAATCATTTTCACTAAACTAAATGGTGGATGTTCTTGTAGCCACTTTCTATTTACCTGAGTCCTGTCCTGAAAGAGTTAGGGAAGGGAGCTGAGGTCTTGGCATTTCCATCAGAAGAATTAACTTGTATACTTCATTTTGTATGTGTGTTCATTGACACTGCAGTACTGGGAACAAGCTTTCTGCATAAGATTTTCTATTTGAACGAGTTTCACTGTGTGTACACCATGTGACTTTGTCTCTTTTCTGCTCCTCGGGGACTGGTATTGTCCCTCTGATTCTGAAAACACTATCTCAGTTTGAAGTGATTCAATGATTTGAAGTGAATTACTTTAGTTAAAAGTTCTGCTTTCTGTAGTCATGCTCATTACTTCAAGGTGAAGAAATGACTGTCAACAGAGTAATCCCCAAAGATCTCCTGGTTTACTCTTCCTTCAGACATCACCCAAGACAGCAGAGGAGGTTGCTCTGTGTCCCTTGTTGTCACTAAGCAAACACACAAACCAGAGAAAGCCTGTGTCATATCAGAGTACACCATGAACATCCTCTCTAAACCACCAGCATGACCTGGGGATTCTGTAACATAGTGGGCAGTCCACAGTTCTCGTACAACCTCTCCATGAAATCTGTTTAAGAGACGATTTCAAGGGGATTTATCAGAATTGCTTTATCTATTTCTCTCAAATTTGCATAGTCTTCTTGGGCAGGGGAGTTATCCGCTGGATCCTCGTCTTTCTTGAGTCTGACAGGGACTACTCTTTATCCAGAAGTGAGCAAGCACAGTAGTTGGTTGGTACTGAGTGTAGTTAGAACTATCCCCTTATTTATGCCTTGAACAGTTTTCACTTTATTGATACTTCTTCTTGATCATTTTAGTCAGTTTCTGGGACAGGTTTAAATGCCCATTTTAAAGTATTTCACTCATTTCATAAGTATGTACACAGTGCTTCATAGGTCCCAATCACAGTGAACGTGACTATGTTGTCTTAAGCCAATACCATCTCTCAATTCCAAACCCTCTTGCTGTGATCCTGGGTCTAGGGCTCCACAAACCACAATCTTGTAAGCAGGCTCTCCACTAGGCTCTGCCAACAGGGGCATTATAAGGACTCTGGAAAAAGATGAAACCTGCTTCTCCCTGTTTGTTGCCTTTCACATCAGTATCACCACAGTAGTGGTCTTAACCAACAGTAGCAGTTTTTCTCACACATTCCCAAAACCAACCTCATAGCATTCCCTACTCCTGCCCTCCCTCCCTCCCACCAAGAGATGATAGTTCCAACCAGCTAACAGCCCCCGGGGTTTTAGGTCCTCTAAGCTCCATAGGCCCCTCTTCTAGGCTGGTGTGGCATCAGCATTAGCCAGGCAACATCTTCTCCCTGGAGATCTGGGTCCCAGTTATGCAGGGCTCCTCCTGCAGACTTTGAGATTCCAGTGCCTCCAATTTCTTTCCTTCATTTCTAGTCCTATGGCTAGTAGCTTCCTCCTGTGGCTACTATACCTGTGCCACCTCGGTGTTGCCATCTTTGCAGTCCTCCAATGCCTACTTGTCCAGTTTCCATGTTAAATTCTTTCTATTACAATGACTGGCATTGACTGTTTTTTGACTAGACCATGGCTAATACAAAGGTAGAGTAAGCCTTCATGGAGCTTGTCTGTATCCATCTAGTAAAGGCTACAGACAAGTAAGCCAACCAGTGCAATACAAGATGACAAGAGCTTTGGTAAAATAAAGAGAGTGCAAAGGAGACACAGAAGAGGTCAACCTAATTTACACTTTAGGGGAACCAACAACTATTTCATGGATAACACAGTATCTAGTTGACTGGTACCTGCAGATAGGTAGGAATTTATTAGAGAACGGAGAAAGGAGAAAAGGGTGTTCTGGTAAAGTCTCAAGGCAAGGCAGAACAAGGTGTGTTTGAGACTCATGGAGTAGTTGAGACCCAGAGGTAAAAGGACATATTATGTAACTAAAATTTTTTACTATGTTGCCTGAGCACACTGCATGAAGTTGAGAGTGGCAGTCAATAAGTCTGGAAAGTTAAAATGATGCCAAATAAGGAATTACCTAATTGCTAAGCCATTTAAAGAAGTTTGAGAATAATCTGGAGCCATGGAAGAGTTTTGAGCAAAGAAGTGGCATAATCAGATTTGCATTTTAGAAGGTGAATTTGATGGATTAGAAGGAGGGACAACTGGGGTCAGGAAGGCCAAATAAAAAGTTGCTTGATTTATCCGAGTGAAAGACATTGGCAGCCCAAATTAGGATATAATAGGTGGGGATAGAGAAAGGAGGATAAGTTCAAGAGAAACAAAGAAGTTAGAAAATAGGATTTAGATATTATTTAGTTGGGGTAAGTTAGGCAAAGATAGGAATCAGGGATTCATTCTATTACATTTTTATGAAACTTACAGATACATCAATGAACAGGTATTCAGATTTTTAGCTTGAAGAACTTTGATATGGTGC